CATGGAAGTTTATTTTAAGAAGCACAGATTCTGGAACAACCCAAGATATAAAGACAGAGAGCTCTGTTAAGATGGAAGAACAGAATTAGATACTAGAGACACATAGTAGTGTCCCCTACATGCCTAGTATAAAGAGGTGTGTGTGTGTGTGTGTGTGTGTGTGTGTGTGTGTGTGTATGAGTGTGTGTGTATGTGCTAGCATTTTTGTGAATGGAAGGACAAAAGATAGGGTTTAAAATTTTTTTGGAGAAGGAACATTTTTTTATTCAGATAGCATTTCCTTCTTTTTAAGGTTTGGGTTTTGAGTATTTCTGTTCAAAGAAAACAAGGACTGAACAGCTAGTGTATACCCCATTTAGCATTTATATTAAAATGAAGGTAATTAGGACCTGGCTCAGCCTACTCCAGGGCAACCAGCTTTCCAACCTATACTGGAAACTATTCCTTAATCTTTTTTTAAGAAAAATGCTCAGCTTTTTGGTGAAATAGTATTATCTAATAATTCTTATTGGAATCTTAGCATAATGACAGGCACACAAACTATACTGTAAAATTTTGTAGGGATTAAATGAGATAGTGTAGCCTGGGTGGCTCAGTCAGTGCGGCATCTGACTTCAGCTCAGTTCATGATCTCATGGTTTGGAGTTTGAGCCCCATGTCAGGTTCTGTGCTGACAATTTTTTAAAAATTTAAAAAAAAAATTTTTTTTTAATGAGATACTGCATGTAAAGCACCAGCCACTGTAAGAACTCAGTAATTTTGTTACATGGCTTCAATTCCTAACAATCTTTGGAGGCATGAACTATCTCCATGTTACAGAAGAGAAAATTGCAACTCAAAGAAGTAACAATTTAAGTTTACAGAGCTAGGAAAAAGCAGAGTTGAGAATCAAACCCAAATCACATCTGATTCTGGAGCTAGTGTTTTTAACCACTAAATATTAGCCATTTGTTTTATTGGTGTATTATCTGCTAGAAACCTTAAATGCTGCTTTTAAAATGGGTGAAATTGGGCTGCCTGGGTGGCTAAGTCAGTTAGGTGTCTGACTTCAGCTTAGGTCATGATCTCATAGCTCATGAGTTTGAGTCCTGTATTGGGCTCTATGCTGACAGCTCAGAGCCTGGAGACTGCTTTGGATTCTGTGTCACCCTCTCTCTCTGCCCCTTCATGCTTGCGCTGTCTCTCTCTCTCTCAAAAATAAACAAACATTAAATAATTGTTTTTAAGTTAAAAATAATAAAGTGGGAATTAGTGAGCAGAGAAAATTCAGGGAAAAACATTTTTATTAATTTTCTTTTCTAAGTTGGGTGATGATAAGAAAGAGGAATTTTTGAGAATAATATATTAAAGTTATAAAAGTTCATAATTGTAAGAATTATACAGGAACCCTTAGAATAATTCAAAGTTATGATAGATTTCTTGAACTTTTATTTTGTGCTAGACTCGCTTTAGAACAGTTGAAAAAAATTATGGCCAGATAATGGCCCCTTTTAATTAGGGGCAAAAAAAGAGATTATTGAAAAATAAATGAAATGGGTGAATTTGGTATTGTGTTCAAGATTTCCCATTTAAGGAAATGTCCAAAGCCCACTAGTCTGGCAATCAAATCTTTTGTGATCAACTGCATGATTTGGACGGATCATAGATTTTCTGTTCCAACATGCTATTTGGGGGCATGTATATGTATGCCCTTCTTAAGCACTACAGTGAAATTGAAATAATAAATGCTTTCTTAATATTCGTTTAATACTTTGTAGCTGTCAAAAATTTTTCACTATATTATCTTTGGTTCTTCATAATGGCCTAAAAGACAGGAAAAAAGTATCCTTTAAATGAAGTATATGAGATACTTAAGGCTTAGAAATTAAATCATTTCTATCGGATCATACTGCTGGGAAATGCTATATATTAGGTTAGCATCCAGAGCTTCAAACATGAATGCCAGTGTTCCTTTAAGTACATGAGGCTGTGTCTTACTGTACCATGTTACTACTCTGAATCCAAAATCCTTTGACTGTTTTTACACAAAGCACTCACCCCAAGGGAAACAGTAGCAGCTTGTACAGAGAGGCCCTCACCCCCTGGGGAGTTTGCTTGACCAGATTTGGAGATTGAGCAGTCACTGAGTTCAATGAATCCATTTGGCAATGGGGGGAAAAGGTGCACCAGAGCTCCTTGTAGATTTAAACATAGGAATGATACAGGGGCACCTGGGTGGCTGTCCGTTAAGCGTCCGACTTTGGCTCAGGTCATGATCTCGCAGTTTGTGGGTTCGAGCTCTGCGTCGAGCTCTGTGCTGACAGCCAGCTCAGAGCCTGGAGCCTGTTTCAGATTCTGTGTCTTCCTCTCTCTCTGACCCTCCCCTGCTCATGCTGTCTCTCATTCTCTCTCTCTCAGAAATAAATTAAAACACAAAAAAAATTTTTTAAAAGAAACATAGGAATGATACAAAGCTACTAAAGGAAAACACAACAAAAAAATTCTAGAAGATGAGTGTAATATTATACATAAATTTGCTGTGTGTGTGTGTGTGTGTGTGTGTGTGTGTGTGTGTGTGTATCTTGTTGGACTTTGGCTTCATGTGAGGACTTTTTTAGCTTGGTTTTGTTTTGTTTCCTTAGCTAAGAGTCTTGAAAGTTTTTACAATTTATGTTGTCTTATACTGTATATATAGAAAAAAAAGCTCTGAAAATTAAAATGATATAAGGTATAAAATAGAATTAAAAAGTCCTTTAAAAATAGCTCGTTTATTGAGCATTACTTTTGTGTCAGGTCCATGATAAACTCTTTGCATTAGTGATTTTATTGAATAAATATATCATCCTACATGGTAGATTCTGTTGATTACTATTTCACTGATGGAGAAACTGCAGCTCCAAGAGTTTAAGTTAGAATAAAAATCTCTGAATCAAAGTGGTTCACCATGTTCTTTTTAATAGAGAAACTTTTGGACAGAAACACAACTAAATATTTTGGTTGATTTGGTATTAAATACCATATATTTGCCAAAGTATAGCAATCTGCTAAATTCCGTGTCAGTCAGAATTCTGCTCCATTTTATACTTTAATGTCTTATTTTGCACTGGTTTTAGCAGGATAAAAATCTTAATGATAATAAGGATAACATCTTATAACATTTATAAGATCTTTATGCTTTTTTCAAAGTTCACATGTCAGACTTCTCAAGTAATTAAAGGAGTAGAGGGCGCCTGGGTGGCACAGTCAGTTAAGCATCCGACTTCAGCTTAGGTCATGATCTCGTATTCATGGGTTTGAGCCTGGCATCAGGCTCTGTGCTGACAGCTAGCTCAGAGTCTGGAGCCTGTTTCAGACTCTGTGTCTCCCTCTCTCTCTGACCCTCCCCAGTTCATGCTGTCTCTCTCTCTCTCTCAGAAATAAATAAAAAAACATTTTTAAAAATTTATTTTAAAAAAGTAATTAAAGGAGTAACTTGATCAGAAAAAACTTTTATTTCCTTGAATTACCTAGATTAGAATTTCCCGAAGTGTGCTTTTATAGAATGAAGGGTAATAATTGATAGTATATAGTAAAGGGTTGCATGGTCAGATAAATTTGGAAAATACTGTAATAAACATTTGTAAATAGATTTCTTTTCTGCAGGAGTTGTCCTGATCCTATGGCTTGTGAACCTATACATATTTTTTTAAAAAGATATAATGACATTTTTCTAACTTACTGGTTTTTAATGTTTATTTATTTTGAGGGGGTTGCACAGAGAGAGAAGGAGAGAGAAAGAATCCCAAGCAGACTCTGGGCTGTCAGTACAGAGCCCACAAACTCATGAACCACAAGATCATGACCTCAGCTGAAATCAGGAATCGGACAGTTAACTGAGCCACCCAGGCGTCCCTCTAATTTACTGGCTTTAGACATAACTCTTTTTTTTTTTTTTAAATTTTAATGTTTTATTTATTTCTAGGAGAGAGAGAGACAGTGTGAGCAGGGGAGGGTCAGAGAGAGAGGGAGTCACAGACTGAAACAGGCTCCAGGCTCTGAGCTGGCAGCCAGCCCAGAGCCCGACGCGGGGCTCGAACCCACGAACCGCGAGATCATGACCCAAGCGAAAGTCGGACGCTTAACCGACTAAGCCACCCAGGCGCCCCTAGACATAACTCTTTATGTACCTCATCTCAGAATGCAACTTCTGGGATTACTGTTTTATCAAACATACTTATGAAAAATGCTAATATCTGGGAAGAAATACTTATATTTTAGACCTTATATATTGATATTTAAAATGTTTGCCATTAACTCAGAATGACAGTAAAATTGTCAACCTTCATTTATGTAGACCTGGCATTATTGTTAGTCAAAGAATAGCAGACATTTGTTCTGTACCTTAAGCCATGAAAATTCAAACCCATTTTTTATTTTTAAATGTTCTATTAGACAATATATATTCTTTGTAATAAAGAAAAGTCAGCACACTCTATAAATGTCTCAAGAGGTTGATGCTTAAGTGAATTATAGTATATACATAGGATAAATATCTCTGTCAAAAATAATCTTATAAAAATATTTAACAAGGAGAGAATATTTTCAGATTATATTGAAAAGTGATGGGGCATCTAGGTTGCTCAGTTGGTTAAGTGTCCGACTTCAGCTTAGGTCATGACCTCACGGTTTGCAAGTTTGAGCCCCATTGAGGCTCTGTGCTGACAGCTTGGAGCCTAGAGCCTGTTTTGGATTCTGTGTCTCCCTCTCACTCTCTCTGCCCTTACCCTGCTTGCACTCTGTCTCTGTCTCTCTCAAAAATAAATATACATGAAAAATTTTTTTTAAAAAAGTAATGACCACCCACAAAACGATATTGAAAATCATTCCAATATTATAAAACAAACAAATGAAAAAAACCCAGAAAGGACTGGCAGAAATAAAAACATCAAAATGTTAATCTCATTATAAAGAAATCAGTTAAATCCCAAATATAATATTCAAACACATGTGCTACCACAGTGTACCTGTGTTGTTTTTTGGCTTATAAGTCTAGTGTTTGGGAAACTTAATTCAGAAGAAATCTTATGATCTGGATGTGACTTATATCCTTATTAGCAACTCATTTAAGCAAATTGGGTTGGTTTTTTGTTTACTAGTTTCTGCACCTTTAAAGATGGAAGTTTCACTTCCTCCTGTAACTAGGATTTTGTAAAGACTTGTGAAATAATGGAATGTATTCTCCTTTAATGTCTAATGTGGGAGGTGCTGATGTGAGCTACTCTGTGTCCCTGGCTCAGTTCTGAAGCAAAGCTAATTTTTGGCCTCAAGGTGCTCTCACTCCCGTGGGCAAGTAACAAGAAAAGTATCACAGGAAAGTACTAGGAAATCACTTCAAAATTTTACTTGGCTTTGGCTTGCCTGGTAAATGATTAATTAACATGCTTCAGGCACCACTCAGCCTATGACTCCTCCAATTCACATCTCAACTCACCAGAGTATATTTTCCGCCCACAGTGTCTTATAGAAATCATGGTGGCTATGATCTCCAGTGACGGCCTCATTCTTTTTGGTCTTCCTCATTGGCCTTTTGGGTCCTCCTTGAAATACTGACCTCACCCAGCTTCACTTTGTGCTTCTCCCAGCTTCTTGTCTCTCCTTCTCTGTTCTTTTCCTGGCTCTTGTCCTTCTGCTGTCTCCTCAATGTGAGTATCTCTCTGGCTGTGTTCCCCATGCCCTTCTCTTCTCACTCCATGAATCATTCTTCACACGTATAATCTCAGTCCTTGTGGGTGAAATCATCACTTTCCCTTCCCTCCTCTGGAAGAGAGGAGAAACTGGATTTAGAGTGTTGATCTAAATAACCGCACAACGGTTGCTCAAAGTATCATAAAGAATGCAGTGAAAGTAAAGCTGTAATTTCACTAATACTAACTTATGAGATGATAGAGAATATAATTTTGTGCCCCAGGTTTCAAAAGGAAAATGATTTCCTGCCTTGGGTCATAAAAAAGCAATAGCAACTCACAAAAGTCTCTCTCTCTCTCTCGAAAGCCCTCTTCTCAATCTTTTTTTTTTTTTTTTTTTGTCTACCACCCACTAATAAATTTGATTAAACCTTCCAATATGAATTTCTACTTCATGAACAGTTTTTCTCTTGTTTCTTCAAGTTTCATTTCTTCACTCTGTGTACCATTTATACCGTACTGATTTGTGTATATTGCTTAGTAAAACTAAAGCTCAACTATAGTATATTTTATGTGCTCAGAGTGTAAGGCACCTAAAAGGTTACTACATTCCCTTTCCCTTCCTCCCTTTTCCTCCTCCTCACCCTTGCCTGCTCCTCTCTTCTCCCAATAACTCTCATTATTATGCCTTTGGCCCTTACAACCTTGGACTAACATCTGGGCTATACACAGTAGTCTGTCAGGAAGTGCCACTCACTGGATTAAATGGGTTAACAGTAATTTAACAAAATGCAGTTCAGATAAATACTACCAAATATGATATATATGTTCTAGTTCTTCAATTTTCCTGTTTTCTAAGGTGGACTTTTATTCTTCTGGCAAATTTATTGTTGGAATGTATGACATTCCTCTAAAGTACTGAATGGTTATTCAACTTTCAAATGATTTCCTGCTTATAACTACCACTTGCACATCCAACTGCATCTAGTAGTCTGGTGATATCCTCATTAAAATAATGCCACAGAGGTCTCATCAACTGCCTGCTAGGACTGGGGAGAAAAAGATCAGATCATGGTGTGGGACCTGGGATTTAAGGAAGCCCAGTCCTCAAAATGGTTAAACTTACCTAATCACCTTTCTTTGGTTTGTTTGTTTCCAGAGGATGTGTGGTCTATATTTTGACAAAATCCTTGGCTGTGTTCATAATAGATTTTCTACAAACTTAGGATTTTATATTATACAACGAGATGTATTATATTTCATTATTTTTTTTAATTTTTAAAATTTCAATACTCCTGGCACCATTTTGTGAATTTTAAAAAATATTCTAATTCATTCTCAGAAAGGCCCAATTTCTTTCAGTTGTGTATATTTTTCTTTTCTTTTTTTTTTCACTTAAAGTTTGTATTGGAGATAAAAGTAAACTGAAATAACTTTGAGTCCATCCTGCTATGGTTTGCTAATAAGATTAATAATTTGCCCTTTATTATTTTAAGGTAGAGATAGATTATTTCTGGATATATTCTGAATACTTTATCTCAAATATAGATCTTAAACATTCTGTACAGAATTCCATTTATAAATCAACTCTGTAGAGGAATCAGTTCAGATATAGTTTCTTTGACACCCTATTAAATACATTGCAACACAACTGTAACATTTACTTTCCATTATTTCCTAGAAGGGAAAAATACATCATGAAAGCATTTCCAGTTTTTTTTTTTCATAAATCTTACATTGGAAGAATTATTTGATGTCATTGCTTTATATAGCTTATCATGAAAATAAGCAGAAAGTTATGAAAAATAACTTTGAAAAATAAGTGAAAATTTCATGCTTTTGCACAATGCTTTCAATTACAGCACTGTATCATTTTCTCATGTTAAGTTCATTATGCATTCACACACTTTGAAGAAATTAATTTCACTTTTTCTCAATTAAATGTAAAGACAATATCTCACTTTATTATTAGCTCTATGAGACTATAGAGATTGTGTCTTGTTTATCATCGTTCTCCAGCACAAACTGCTTTACCTAGTTCTTAGTAAACATCCAATCAATATTTGTTGAATGTTTGAAGGAATGAAGACTCTCAACTCCTGCTAGCAAAACTGGCATCATGGTTTTGTAAATCTTATTGTTTGATCAAAGAGAGTGTAACTTCTTTGGATCACTAGCCATTCTTGGCCTCTTTCCTTCGTGCCTGAGAAGAAAACAGTTCTAGCATTAATCCATTTATACAATTCTTTGCTTTCAGCGTACAAACATGCCCACATCTCTCCCACCTTCAAAAACGACACAATCTGTGACCCAAACAGCTACCCCTTTGTCTCTGTCTCTCCTCCCTTCTTCATTGCCAAGCCTCGTGAGAGGGTAGGCTACATTCAACATCTCTCTTTCCTGACTTGCAGTTCACTCCACACTTTACTTCATAACCTGGATATGGGGGCTTCACTCTGAAATCAGACACCAGGGATTTCAGACTCAGCATTGCCCATCACCAGCTTTGTGACCATAGGCAGGTTTTGCAACCTCTCTAACAGTACAGATCTCATAGGACTCCCATGAAAATTAAATAAGATAATGCATTTAAAACGTTCTTCTGCATTGCCTGGCACATAGTAAATGGTAGGTATTATTCTTACTGATTGAAAGTGTAATGGGAGTTCAAAGATGAGAAAGAATGGTGCAGACTTAAGAATTATTTTGAATTCGCCTAACCAACCACTCACTCAGTCTTCATTAGGAAATTAGAACCCAGAGAGATTAAGTAGTCAAAATTTCAAGAAGGACATGATATTTGATTTAGATTTTGAGAGATAATAACAATAGTTTATTATTACTGAATGTTTACTGTGGGCCAGAGACCATTCTAAATGTTTGAATGGAATGTTTTATGGATTCTTCAAAACATTCCTGTGGGGTGGCATTTCGCATTTTGTGAGCTAGAACTATACTGTCAGTCAGAAGCCAGACAGGGAGAATTGAGAAAAAGGAACGAGTGAAAATCTGGAGGCAGGAAAGACATGCTGATTTCTAAAGATGGTGATGAGACGTATCAGCCAGAGTGAAGAGCTTGTCCTCGGCAATGATGAGAAACAATGTTGGACAGAGTTAGGCAAAGTTATGAGGTCTTAACAACCGTACAAAAAAATTTTTTTTCTGCTTTATCAACTGGGCAAAATAAAGAGCAGATATTTGGGGAAGGGAGGATATGCACGGAATTGGGATTTAAGCACACTGGTTGGGTGGCATGCACTATGAAGCCCTGAAGGGCAGCTTGTCCTTCATGTCCCCAAGAAACCTCTACCAGCCACTATTGGTTACCACTAGTCACTAGGTCAGTACCTGCAGTTTCCCGTAAAGTAGGTGGTTAATAACCGTTTCTTTTTTTTTTTTTAATTTTTTAAATTATTTCTGAGAGAGAGAGAGAGAGACAGTGTGAACAGGGGAGGGTCAGAGAGAGAGGGAGACACAGAATTTGAAACAGGCTCCAGGCTCTGAGCTAGCTGTCAGCAGAGAGCCCGACGCGGGGCTCGAACCCACCAACCGTGAGATCATGACCTGAGCCGAAGTCGGAGGCTTAACCGACTGAGCCACCCAGGTGCCCCGGTTAATAACCGTTTCTTGAAGGAAGGAAGGAAGGAAGGAATAGAATCATGAATTCTCACTTTCCAGTTGGGAAGTGATGAGAGCTGGCACTATAGTTAAGGCAATGGGAATGAAAATAAGGAAACAGATCCTAGATATACTTTCAAAGAATAAATAACAAGACTTGGGCATATATTGGACATGAACTAAAATTTAGAACCATATTTCAGGTTTATTATATATGGTAAACTGCAGTGTTAGAACAGTTGCATTTCACACATTCTTTGTTATGCTTTCTGTAGAAGTTCTGTATTTGGTATAAATTGAAATGAAGCACATTTTAGCATAACGATGTTATGACTAATTATTACCACTAAAACGTCTACGGTTTTACTGTCTACTCCTACTCCCTCAACCCAAGTGCTTCCCAGTTTTACCACACACCTGGTTTGTTGTGGGAGTCTTCTACTGAACTCTGACCGAATAAACTTCATCTTCACACACCTGGCAGTTGCCTCCTCTCAATGTTTTATTCATACAGTTGCTTTCTCCCATGAATACCTTTTCTTCTACCAGTTCATTGCCATTACCAACTGGAATATTAGTCATCCTTCACAACCAAATCACATGCTATCTTCTCCATAATGTCTGATCAGCCCAGCTGGCACTGACTTTTCCCTCTGAACTACCATAGCAATATACTTCACCATACTGGTCATTTGGTTTACTGGGTATCTCCTTACCAGAATCTTACTTGTATCCCTACATTTGAACCTGAACCTTTATTTCTGTACTCCTGGCCCTTAGGAGGGAGGGAAGTGAACTGAGTAAGATGCTTGGGATTCCAGCCTTTGGGTCCTTGGGAACGCTGTAGGACCTGGAAGCCAGAAATCCAGGGCATTGAGCTGGATGGAGAATTGCTGGAAAAAAAAAATGTCACTTAGCAGGCATATTATCTGTGAAAAGGCAAGCTTAATTTGTAAGCATATCTCTGAAACCCCCATGGAGGATGATTCTAGAATTTCTAGAGAATAAGGAACTGATTTGTACAGTGCCCATAAAGGATGTAGAAAATGTTATCCATAAGCTGTTATTTTCATGAAATTTAAAAATATATATATGTTTCCATGGTGGTTCGTTCATAACTTAAGATCCTATCTTGTTCTAAGTCTGTAAAGTCCGTAAAGACTTTGTTCTAAGAAGTCTTCTGTAAAATCAGTGGAATCCTACTTGTGCGATCTTCAGAAATCTAATATTAAAGGCTGCAGAGGACTACTAGACTAATATTGAACCAGAACTCTTAAACTTGGCTAAATAGGTGTCTATTTCACAGTGTGGTTGGCAATTCTTGAGGCTCCCAGAATATGATATGGGCTCTCATAGCTGAGTCTTTGCACATGCTGCTTCCCTTGCCTAATATACCTCTCTTCAATTTTTTTTTTTTTTTTTGGCAAGGTTAACTCATACTTATCCTACATGATTTTGACTCAGATATCATCTCCTCCAAAAAACCTTCCCTGAATGCTTTCATTACAGCCACTCCTGGCTGTTCCCACAATAGCCTGCGCTTTCATCATAACACTTACTTCAGGTGTGGCAGTTTTCATCTACAAGTCCTTCTCCACGAGCTCTGAGCTCTGTGGGTGACAAGTCATCAGCAGCATACTTAGAAGGCCATGAGGGCTCAATAAATGTTTGCTCATTGAATAAATGTACAGTATTAGTATAGGAAATGTAGATGAAAGTTCCTCTGGCTCCCAGAGGTAAGTTGTCGGTATTAGAATTTTAGGGTAATTTTTGACAACTGGAATCTATGCGTTCCTTGTCTTCTCCCCACCTGGTAGACTGTAGCTAAACCAGGCTGGAAGATAGCAGTTTCCTATGCGCCTTAAGCAAGTGACAGTTCCTGTCCAACCCAGTATTTAAGAATTGTGATGATTTTTACTGTGTAGCCCCCAGGGAGAAATGCAGACTTATAAAACATTTTTCTATCTGTTTTTTCTATTTTGAATGATTGAAATTTTGCTACTAAACCCACTAAACCCACCCCATCAGTGGTTTTGTTTGTTGGTTTTAACATGCCACTGGAAAGAGCTCTCTGGATACCTATTTTCATGTATAGTATAAACCAAATATTAATATATCACATGCATCTAAATTTCTTCTGATAATACAGTTTTTCCCTTTTTCTTTTTTGATTTTGCAGGAGCACTACAGGTCTTTTATATGATTCAATCTTAAAAGTTTTTCAGAGAACAAATGATAAGTGTGAACCCATGACTATGTTAGAGAAACAGCATTTTCAGTGCAAACAAAATCATGAGCTACATATAATGAATTGGCTATACAATTTTGAAGTAGGTCTTGCTTTAAATTTTTTTCCCTTAAGGTTATAGTATCCGATAATAACTCCTTTTGCTTCAATTACAATAAAAGAGTGAATATGGGTAGATAAAATGCAGGATTAAAAAAAGACCTATTTTGGAGCAAAGAAGGATGCCTGCCTGTTTATACTGAGCCCCATGGATGGGAACTGACCAAAGATTTGCTGCGGAGCCTGTCAAATATTACAATCCAGAGTTTCATTACGGTAAAAATAATCGCTGGTAAAAGTTCGCCCAAAGTATCATTTTGCCCCTAATTTCGTTTGTATTTTTGTTTTAAAGACCTAAAAAGCCGCGTTAACTAAGACAAGCTTTCACCCACCGAATTTACCATCGGTGCGCAGCGCCTCCGGAGCGCCCCTCCTCACCCCCACCGAGGGCGGCTCTGGCCCCCCAGCGTCGCCCCCGCCCCTCGCGCGGGCGGCTGGCGGGGGTGACAGGTGCCGAGCCCGCCCACCCCCGGGTAATAGCACCACCCCGCAATTCTCCCGCCGTTGCCTTTCGCAAAGCCGGTTTGCGGCTGGAGGTAGTTTGCCTGTCAGAAAACGGCGCTGGGAGGGAGCGAGCGTGAGAAAGTGAGCGTGTGCGCGAGAGGGACAGAAGGACCGAGGAGTCGGCTCCCGGCGTCCGAGCGCCCAGTCTGCCCCGTCCCGCCCGTCCGCCTCCGGGCCCGCGGAGGGTGGGGGCCGCGAGCAGGGAGGCCGGCGGGCGCCGGGGGTTGGCGGGACGCGCGCTCCGTGCCGGCGCCCGGCCTCGAGCCCGCGCTCCCCCCCCCCCCGCGTGCCCGCGCCGCTGCGCGATGCAGTGTGGGGAATGGCTGGGGTTGGCTGAAGAGCGCACAGTGGAGTTTTAATGTCCGCCATGTTGGCCATGGCGTATTGAAGAGAGCGAGCGAGAGAGGAGCGGAGCGGCACAGCCTCCCACCCTCCCGGCTGGTGTTAGTGCCCGGACGGCGGGCTCTGCGCTCCGCCCCTCAAGTCCCCGGCAGCGGTAGGCGAGTGGGGACCGAACCCCCGGTTCTCCATGATCCCGCTGGCCGGGGCCGTTTCCCCAGAGCGGAGAGGTATCTGCTGCGCCTGAGATGAGTAAATTGTCGTTTCGGGCGCGGGCGCTAGACGCCTCGAAGCCGCTGCCGGTTTTCCGCTGTGAGGATCTGCCCGACCTGCACGAATACGCCTCGATAAACCGGGCCGTGCCGCAGATGCCCACCGGAATGGAGAAGGAAGAGGAGTCGGTACGTGTTAACTCCCCTGTCCGACCCAGCGCCAGGCCCCGCTCCCTCTGCTGCCTGCGGCGGCGGCGGAGCAGCATACCCACACAAAATGGCCGCCATCTTCTCTTCGCCGCCGACTCTCAGTCGCCGGCCGGGCCTTTACCCCGCCTCCCCCGGCCTCGACCCCCGGCCGCCGCGGCCCGGCGGGGCCTCCTCTAAGGCCACCCGCCGACCCCGGCCACTTGTACCCGGGTCCCGCGGAGTTCGGGAGCCCGAAAGGCACAAAGGGGTCACGTGACGAAGCTGCCGGCAGCCATTTTGTGGTCTTAGTTCTTGGGTTGGGCCTTGTGCATCCGGAGAGGGGAACGGGCTGGGTGGCGGTGGGGGTGCGGCGAGCGGGGAGCCGCGGAGGACCCGCCTGCAGCCCTCCCGGCAGGCCGCTGGGTGGCGTTCTAGGGCCACCTCGGCCTTCGCGCGCTGCCGGCGCTGGGGAGCGCAGGTTCCGTGCACAGTGGGGGTATGTCGCTTCCCGGTGGCCTGGAAAGGTGACTGGGCTCTGTGCGGTCCCCACGCGGAGCCTCAGTGGGGCACGTAATGTTGACAGCAGGTCTGTGAGGCTTGTATTCCTTCACCCCCTGCAACAGAATGTCGGGAGTACTGCGTGTTTGCTCAGATGACTTACTTTTATAGAAGATAAGGATTCTTTCTCTGTATTCTCTTTCTGGGACTTTTGCATTCATTCTTCCCCAATTCTAATTAGTCAGAGGGTAATAAACTACTATCCCTGACTTTTGCTTTGATCTTTGAGACTATGTTGCAGACTTATTTTGGAGTACGTAGTTTTTCTTAAGCCTGTAACTTTATTATTGCCTTTTTTTTTTTTTTTTTAATAAAGTGTAAGTCCGCCTTTCTGGTTTCTCAACATAGGAGAAGAAAAGACCCAAAGTAAGAAGATGTTATAGATCTAGATTTCGAAAGAGGGTCCTTCCTTATCGATAGCCGAACTAAAGTTAAGTGAATTCATTTACAGGAATCTTAACATTCAGATGTTCTATGTTGGGTGGGTTTCAGTATTTAACTGTTTACAGCTAATAGACATTTTATCATAGCTATGGCTTTACCTAGTTGTGGAAACTGGGTTCAGACACAAGGATAATAGAATCTTCCTCTCATTTCCCCCAGATCCTTGACAGTATAACTTGATGACTTCTAATCCTAAGGAATTGCATAACTTGGTTTTCAGGTACAGCCATTTAAACAGGGTGCAGTGTATTGACAGTTCAAAGAAATCAAGGAGTCGCTGGATTTGTGTGCTACAATTTGTTGTGGAGAATTGTACTGTAATACTTCTATTTGGGACTGTAAGAATTTTAAATGTAGAAATTATGCTCTGTAATGTTGATTTTGAAAATAAAGCTGTTTAAACTGTTTGGGTTATTTAACCTTTGAAAGTAAAATAGTTGTGACAGTTGAATGTTACCTTTGAGAGTAGTGTTTCAAATCTAACTTTACAGATAAGCTAAGTGATAAGTGTATGTAGTAGTTGAGATTGTCTAGTGTAGCACTGACTTTCTGCACCTATCAGACAGAACCTCTCCATTTATTTTACTTGTATCAACTTTAGAGTAGACTGGTGCCATTTGTTGATTTTTTAATAAGTGATTTGTTTTTAAAAATTAAAGTACTTGTGACTGCAGAATCTTGTCTTTTGGTTTTATTTTTGTTGCTGTTTATAAGTTGTACAGATAATACTTTCAAGCCGGGGTGTTGGTGTTAACACTGCCTTGGAATTTAATTCGTAGTTGTTTTGCAGCCAGGGAAGGTGGGGAGATGCCTTATAAAAGCAAGGTAGCACTACAGTACACCTTAGACATTTAGTTAAGTCTTGCTTCTGAGTATTTTGGACAGTCTCAAGAGCTACAACCTGAAATCCGGCTGAACTCAACTAAAGTATCAGTGCTTGTTAAATTTTACAGATAACTTTGTTCACTGAAATAATTTTGACATAGTGCTGTGGATATCATTAGTAACGTTCAATCTCTCTGAGGGACGTGAGGGATGATTTTTCCCCTTCAGACTACCTTTTTCCATCATCTGTTTAGAATTTGTTTTAATTTATATCCAACCAGAACTATAATCAGTGAAGCATATACCTCAAGAATAGATACTGCATTCAATAAAAGAATTAAACAGTACCAAGTGAACTGCTGCTCTACAGTCCTCTGGTTCATGTTGTCAGTAGTAGTAGGCCATATAAATCACAATATTGAATGTAGTGTGCTACACAATATTGAAAATGTAGACTCAACATAAAGATAATTGAATTCTGAGTTAACCTAAGAAAAACAACTTTTTGGTAATGTGCTGAAGCATGATATGCTTGTAAAGGTGAATGGTTAAAACAAACTTTCGCCTTTGACACATCATTTATGGTGTCTCTTAGGTCAAAGAGACCTAGAACCTGAATTGTGGTCTAGGGTAGAAAAAGTGTAATGGTATGTAGATCATGAAAAATGGGGCAGATTTAAATGACAGTTTTGTGTATACCCCCTGATTAAGAAAGCATTTCATGATCAAAATGTATTTGCAGTATTGTCACATGAACTATATCTGGTAGTTTTTACCATATTTTGTTTTTGTGGTGAAGGACAAATTCTAGATCTTACCACTGAGAAAATAAAACTTATTAATGCACTTCTATTTACCAAGTTTAATAATATAATCTGAATACAATTAGGCATGCCTTTAATTTTTAAAAAGCAACTTTAAGCAGAAATCTCCCCTCCCCCAAGATTTTACTCAATTTTAGAACTTAGTTGTTAGTGTAGTAGGATTGAAAAATAACTCCAAATTGTCGTAAATTGAAGGACTTGACTGAGTCTTAGATGTTTAGGAGTTAAATGTTTAAGTTGGTACACTGTAATACATTGTAGCTTGCTAAGTCAAAAAATAACATTTGATGAAGACTTTGAATTACAGAAGTAATTTTCAAGTAGGAAATCAATAGATTGTCCGTTCTAAAATGAGATAAATGAGTCCTTGTGGGGTTAAAAAAAAGAGTTTGAGCAAGTTGATAGGGCAGATGTTAGTACTATTATATTTTAACATTTTTGTTATGGTAATCTTAAATTTGAGATTTTAACTTTGAAGTTAGGAATGTTGAAATACTAAGTCTAGTTCCATGGCTTCTATTTTAATTGAAAGGGTAACTTGCAAGATGTCAGTACTATTGGTATGTTTTTATTAAAATTTATTTATGTTAAAATTGGAGCTTTACATTAAAGTATAATTCTGCTCTATAGATACTTACATTTAGGAAAGACATTTTAAACATTGGTTTTAAAGTCATTAACACATTGGAGCTACCTGGTTCCTGTAGTATAACTTTTTCATTGGGATGTTCAGGGTATTGTGGCTCCATTATGAGTGGATAGTTAATCTTCTACACTTATTACCTAGTCTGGTTTGGGTAGAATAGGTGATGTAATTGACATGTTAATGATATCACATGGTATTACCCTACACAGCTACCTTTGAGACTTAGAAGTAGGGTCTAGCCATTATAATCCAACACCTTGTTTTAATTGGGTTCTATCTGGACAAAATGGTCTTATACACCTGCCTTTCTCTCCTCTTAAAACAACCATTCATTATTAAGGGCTGTATATAATGTTATTAAATCCAAGTTAAGGACCATTTATAAAATGGACAGGTTCTTTCTTTGTTTTTAATTAAGGATAAATTTGAAATATGTATATATCTCTAAAATGAGGAAAAATAAGTGCTACATTTTCATACATGGATAAAAGTCTAGTTTTTCTATTTTATAAAAAATTACTTTAAATGATCAATTTAAATGTTTGATTTCTTATTGTTTGAAGGAAGCCACAAATCTTTTTTTCCCCTTTAAAATTTTATAAACTAAAAAGTCCTTGTATTTGGAGCTATACAATTAAATTAGATTTCTTCCTTCTTGGAAGTGAAGAAAAATATGTGAAATCTCAGTTACAGTAGAAGCAAAGTTTAATTTTTACAAATAGTTTGAATTAAATTTTTTTGAATTAAGTAGCCAATAACTAGTCTTTTTAAAATCAAAGATAATTAAGAAGCAGTAGTAAAATTTAGTTTCAAATTTCTACCTGAAGATTTGTTTTTAATTTAGTTTTTTAGGTAACCTATATGATCAAGAGCCACGTGCTCTACCGACTAAGCCAGCCAGGTGTCCCCTGTCAAGATATTTTTGAGTAGAAGTTTCTAAGGTTTAAGGACTACGTGGAAATACTTCTGGAAGTAGTGAATTCCCACAATATGCATATAAAATTTTGTGATGGTATATTTTTTTAGGAGAAAAGTTCATATTTTTCCATCAGTTTCTCAAAGTATTGGTAATGAGTTGGAGCAGAAAGCTCAAGATTAAGGGCTACTAATTCTCTTAGTAGAAATTTCATGGGAAGTCATTTTGGGTTTATTAGTATGACTTACTAGGAGAAGGATAATTGAAACCAGCTGTAGGCAACTCAGGAAGAGAGTACTTCCCCCCCACTCCCCCTTAATAGGCTTAAGGAACAGACTACTCTTTAACTACAAAAGGAACCTCTCAAAAATTGTAGTTCCTAGGTGCCTAAAGAGCTCTTGTTTCAGTGTACTATTTGATATTTAAAATTTTGGATTAGTACAATTTGGATTTAGAGTTCATTTTTTATAAAACAATGGTAATGAAAACTGACAGGCTTACATATCTAATTGTTTTGTAGATGCTTTGTGATCTGTAGTGGAGTTTATGCTGAACTACCATTTCTTTTAATCAACAGTACTTAATTTAAAATACCATCTAAATGTAAGGCAGCTTAAGTTTTGTAAACAAGGAATAGTAATTTGTACCTACAGGTTCATGAATCTGTGGCTAGATTAAATATTAAACCAACACTCCTAAAAACTAAGTTTAGTTTTATATTTTGCATTCTACATCATCAGTAAAGTTTAACAGATGAAAGAAAGATTTGGAATCTGACTAATATATATGATTCAGTTTTTCTAAAAAGCTAAGGGTATTTCTTACCAGCAGTTGGTTACAACAGCAGTTTTAAAGCAAAAGCTAACATTTTATTCAAATGTTTATTTATTTGAGAAAGAGCACATGTGCATGCACATGCTCTTGAGCAGGGGAGGGGCA